TCCACTGCACACCTGTAGGAGGTGGTGAGGTTCATCTTAAGCCACTAGGAGTGTTGCTTTAGCTGGAAAGAATAACCACCTATGTGGAAGATGAACATGGGTCCTTGAAGAATTTTGTCATTTTTCCTTCAAGTCTGACCCTTTTCCCAGTCTGCCGATGTAAAGCGTCCCCACAGCATGATGCTGCCACCACCGTGCTTTACTGTAGAGCTGTAGGGGGCTGAAAATTAAAAACTCCAAAAACTCCCATGTTATAAGAACACAAAGGGGGGTGAATACTTGTGCAGTCTGCCTGTACTAACAATTTTAACACCATTAAAATCTATTTTCTAAGCAAAATATATAAATATGACATTGTGGGAAGGATTTTATTTTTTCTTGATTAAAGCAAAATTAATTAATTTTATTCTGAAAATGTTATTTTACATGGAAGCTTACATACATGTATTTGTCATAATGTCTTCCGTTTAAGAGGGGGAAGCAGGCCGAGGCGGAGGACTTACGTCATACTTCTGTCTCTTGAGTTCCTCGGTGAGGTCAAACTTCTCAGCCTCCAGCTTCATCAGCCACTGCCAGAGCTCGTCTGCCTTCTCCCTTTCAAAACAAACCAGGAGAACGGAAGCTGAGCGCTAAAAACTATATTTTAAACTCTCAGACACAAAGATGGTAAATCACCAATAAAGTTCTACTATAATCCACTATTTTAGACCAATGAGGAATAAGTGTCCTTACTTGACCTTTTCCTCGTTGAGATGATCAATGTTGAGAGGTTTCCTCCTCTCCGCCAGGATTTTTCTCTTCTTCTCTCGTTCCGTTTGCTTCTTTGCACCTTTCTTTCCATCTTGCTGCACACGAGAGTCAAAGCAAGAGGCTAAAAGTAAAAAATAAAAGCGTAGACAGGAAACCAAAACAAAACCTGCCGTGACTGAAACTGACCCTCTGCTGGCCACCGTACTGCTGAGTCATGTTTGTCAGGACCTTCTTCTTCTTGACGTCCTTGTCCTGCTTCCTACGAGCTTCCTCCTGTTCCTTCCTCTCCTTTTCCTCCTGGGACACAAAACATAGTCATGAAAAAATTAAATAAAATAAAAAGTCTCCTTGACGGTAGATTTCCCGAATCTTTCATCATGTGAACGTGAAAGTTCTCTCTGAGTCCAGAGGATTTATTCTTTCCCTTCCAAGCACACAAGACACCAAGTACTTTCAGGTAAAATAAAGATTAGTTTATTGACCAAACAAGTGTTATTTTTTTCATTCATACAACCTTTATTTATAAAGGTTACTCTCATTGAGTCACGAGGACTCATTTTCAGACAGACCGCATATAAAATACAGACAACAATAATCAACAAAAAGCAATTGAATCAAATTATAAAAACAGTCAAATCAAGGTGCCGAATAAAACAAGGTAAAATACTAAAAACAACATATTTTCTTAGATTTTTTTTTCCTATTTGCATAATTAAATCTTTAAAATCCCTTAAGGAAATCAAAGTGGACAGCTTCAGATCTTGTTGCAGGGTGTTCCAGGTTACAGGAGCAGAGTAAGAAGTCTTTTTGACGAGTTCAGTCCGCACTGAGGGGACGCTTCAGGTAATGATGTCTTGAGAGCGCACGTTGTAACTGCACTGACGACGTGACATGTAGGAGATATAAGAAGGCAGCAGACCAAATAGTGATTTATAGATGAAGATGTACCAATGTGAGAGCATTCATGTACATAATGATGACCAACTGACCAAGAAGTACAGGGTGCAGTGATGGGTACAATAGTTACAGCCAGTTGTGAAACTTAGCGCAACATGGTAGACAGCATCCAACAAATGCAAGGAGCTGGCAGGTGCATTCAAATAATGTCACCATAATCAATTAGTTGGTAGGAAAGTTGTAGCTTTAAGGCGTTTCCTGACATTCAGAGTTAAGTATGATCTATTTGTGAAAAAGAAACCCAGTTTTAATTTCAGTTTCTTCATCAAGCTTTCAACATGCGGCTTCAAAGAGAGATGTGCATCAATTAAAATTCCCAAGTATTTGTAAGAATCTACAAACTCAAAAGGAACACCATGCCTGGATGAGATAGGAGGAAGAGTTGCTGGCACCAACTTTCTGTTTGAAAACATCCCTTTGGTTTTGTCAGCATTTAGCACCAGTTTGAGACAGAACCAGTCAGACTGAATTATGTCAAATGCAGAATGTAGAAGCTGGAAAACCTTAGCAACTGTGTTAACTCAACAATAAACAACTGTATCGTCAGCATAGACATGCGGTCAGGAATGTTTTGACCTACATTATTTATATATCATACATGTCTACATGTCTCTGCGTGAGTGCAGCTACAGCGTGCACTCTCAGGACATTAATACATGCAGTGTTCCTTCTGTGTGGACTGAACTAGGCAAAAGGGCCTGTGGCTTTAAACATCTGTTAGGTTCCTGGGAAAAACCAATGCAGACATGTTCCTGTTTTTAGTTTTCTACACCACCTTATAATCTAGTTTTTTTTTGCTACTTTTCCTTTTAATTACCATTTTATTTTCACTTGTTAAAAATAAATACATTTGTACGCATCCTTTATGATTGTCTATTGTTGTCTTTGTTGTCCACTGTTGTCATCACTTTGTTAAAAATCAGGTATCTCTTGTAAATGAGTCCCCAAGGCTCAGTGGGATTAACCTGTATAAGGTTAAATATAAATTGGAAAAAGAGTGGGTCCTAAAACTGAGCCTTGTGGTACACCATTATTGACTGTTAATACCATTGTGTCAAACACATTGCCTCTGATCTGAAAGTTAGAATAGTTAGTTTTAGTAACTTCCTGTAATCTCCCCTCATTAAGCAAAACATCTATCTTTAGTTGCAGTTCTGAATGAACTCACAGCAAGACGAGCTTGCCGCTCCTTTTCCTGCTCAGTTCGGACCCTCTGCTGTTCAGCTCTCTCGGCACGGCGCTTCTCCTGATCGTCCACACAGACACACACAATGTAATTGTTTCCTGGGCAGTGCATCACTCAGGGAGCGGCGTGCGTTCTCGTGGAAGACTTACGATCCTATTAACAAGAGCCATGAGCTCCTCCTCGTCCTTCTGTCTCTGGACAAAGTGGGCCTGGATCAGAGACTGCAGCTCGGTCAGATCCTTCTCAATACGCTTCCGGTGGATGTCCTGCAGATACAAGGACACAGCAAGGGTTTCTGTCCTGCTGAAAGCACTGACAAAAATCAGCCCTGAACTCAGTTCTTCAAGGAGCTTCCCTTCAATTAAAACATTTAGTTAAAACAGCAGCTCAGACCTTTTGGAGTGGGGAGACCTTTACTCTAAACACATAAATACATTGAAGATACGGACACCACAAACTGCCTTTAAAACCCAAATAAAGGGATTTAAATGTTGAACTTCTGTTCTTGTCTTCACCAGTAGTCAACCCACAAAAAGCTATAAAAACTATCTACCAACAAGCGGTACGCCGATGTCCCCCGTCACTGATGGGTTTGAATAGTGGATGTTTGTAGTTTTCGAGATGAGTGTTTTTCTGGATTAGAACTGGACAGGAAATGCAAGTAAACCTAAATGTTTTTAGGGCAAGATGAGTGGCAAGGAGTTACACTGCAGAGAAGAATAAAAAGTAGTTTTTTCAGCAGGTGTAACGGCGGAGCCAGGGGGTGACCAATGGTGGCCTCGGCCATTAAAGATGAATCCTCGGCCACCCCAATCATTTGAGGGAACTTTTAATCAACTTTTCTTATTAAAACATGCAGCCACAGACCACAATGTTGCCTGTTTATCAAGTTATACAGTTTACAAGGCTTATATACATGTATGGTGGCAGCCATCTTGGATTTTGACGTGTCAACCCAATGTTCGATAGCAAACATTCATCCACCTAGATGCAGCCACGCACCAAACTGGAAGTCGACAACTTACAACAGAGGACAGTATTTCCAGTTCCCTCTCCCTCCATCATTATTTTGATCATTACAACTTTGGGAAGCGCTGATCAAAAATGTCCGTTTTTTTTAGTCTCATCATCAGATGTTGGTCGTATTTTCTTCCATTTGACTTATTTAAAAAAAAATTACAGACTAGCTCTCTGTTAGTTTTAATCTAAACAGAGTAAGAAAGCGTTTGAAAAAATACAAAATGTGTTAAAACTCACATCAAAGTCGACTTTTTCTCCTTCGGGTATCTTGGGAACAGCAATCGAAGGAGCAAAAGCCCTAAAATTAAAACAATCGCTTAGAATAAATTCACAAATTCTGAATTGATTAGACATTTAAAGCAAAAAACATACTTAGGTTTGGGCTTGGATTCATCTGTAATTAAAAAAAGCACATTTAAGTTTCATTTTGAAGTACTTTAATCGTTAAATTGAGTCTACAATGTGTAAAAATCTCGTTTCCAGATTAAAATAAACAATAAAAGTAATATTTTCTGCCACATATTTCAGCTCTGTTTGATGTTCAGTGGAATCATACAGACCTTCATCTGCAGCCGGAGCCTCTGCATCTAAGGACAGAAGGAAACTTTAGTGAATCAACGAGCAGAAAAACAGATTTCCATTTTTACCTCCCAACACTACATCACTGAGGGCTGCAATTTACTTTACACGTTCAGGAATGAAATTATTCTTGCATGTCAGAGGGTGAAATAGGAAATCGAGTTGTTTTCCGAGTTACACAAGGGTTTCTATACAATCCCATTTTTT